TTATTTCGTTACCGACCTCTAAAGAACTTAAGATCTTTAGTCAGTTTCTTCTCAACAGACATCGTCCTACGTTTGAGCTCCGACTAGATACATTTGTAATTACCAGTCGTTTCTTTGACGGGCATTCATGACAGACTGTGAAAGGGATGCATTTATCACCTTGCATTGATGTGGGGGCTATAGGATGAATGCGGAGTAATTTAAAATTCGCCTTCTTGAGAACTTGTGGGTGGTTCATCATTGACGTGAAGCTCAGAATCAACTTAATGTTTGACTCAAGATTTATACTTCATCATAATAAATTGCTTGTGGATTCCGTAATGTCACTTGGTTATGAATCTAGCTCCGCGCTAGACCATAGTGGATTTGGCATGACACCAAAGGTGCAGCACCATACTACATATCCACATTTCAATGATTTGGCATTGCTTTGGCCAAATAGTCATCAAAAACAGTAGGTTACCATCCCATCGCTATTAATTTATTCTCTATTTACAATATTATTATTCTACTGTTTGTTGAGAATTTTTTGGTGATTGGAGTTCTAAAATTTTTTATTTATGTTTTACAGCCAATTTTATATAAATTATTGCACGCCTTACAACGCGTATGCGTGTGGGAGTGCTTTACTCTCGATAGGCCGCTATGTGGCGATCTTACAATATAAAATCGCTGTAATCCCCCAAGTTAGACACTAAAACAATAAAAAAATGGGATGTTTTGAAAACTAGACATATAAAATTATAAAGTCAGCGTATTTTTTCATTTATTTTTTTGGTATTTAAAACAAAAAAATATAGTTAAAAAAATATTAGTACTGCTGTCCGTTGGTCTGTGCACTTGTTTGTCTGCACGTTTTATAAAAATATACGTATTAATTATTATAGATCCTTTTGAAATAATTTCCTCTTATACTGAGGATGAACCCTATTTCTTATCATGATTGAACTGATAACCGTTTTAAAGATGTTAATGAAATTCAATGGAATTTATTTACTGGGTTTCTGTTTCGTGAATGTGAGGCGTACACTTTTGGACTTTCCAATTTTTTTTTATACTTTTTGAATCTCCAACGCACAATGTCCCATACACGGCCATGCGTCTCAATAGGCCATCGTCGCGGATCGTTGCAAAATTGTTCACACAATAGTGCATTTGTCTTGTCGTTTGTCTGTCGGCACAATCATGACGGATGTGGAAGAAATGACGACCGTGGCTGCTAATTTTTATATCGCATATAATTAATGTAATGTGCAGAAAAATAATGTTCAAAATTAATTTTGTTGATTACTTCGCAGTAGTAAAATTTTTGGTGATCAAAGGTTAAATAATTTTACTTATTAGTTCACTTGCCTATCAGTGGGCACTGGCAATCTGAATTAATAGGTGACTGTATGAACACCACTGGCAATGCTGCGATACGATTCCTTTGGAAGTGTGCCCAAAAACCCAAAGACACCGCTATTGAACGCAAGCATTGGCAATTATCCGCCATCCCATCATGCTCCATTACCTCCTGTACACCGTGGACTGTGTACATATTACATTACATACTACGACTAGGATCTGAATCATGATAATACCTATGTTTAGCCTGTTAAATCTATGTTGGATATTTATTTTTTTATTTTTTATCTTTATTTGAGAAACAAAAGCAATGCATTAACACTTATAACTTAATGTAACTAACAAAACATTTTATTATAACTTTTTTATTCACTTTTACTATTGTAAAGTCACTTTTATTAATTGCGAATTTAATAATAATGTTATGTTCCGAACCTGCAACCTACTTGCAACTAGGGAAGGACCAGAGAAAGAGAACCTTTTAAGAAAAATAGGAGAAAAAAGGAAGAAGAATTAGGTAAGTAAGTTAGTAGTAGGTAAAGAAAAAAGTTTGTGAGTGCAGGGAACGCTCAGCCGAGTATCGATTGGGTTAGGTTAGGTGTGATTTGATGTAATAAGAGTTACGTACAACCACACTATTGTAATGCAACTGCGTTACGAAGTATGGCCAGTTTAACCGGAACTGACATTTAAAAATTCATCACATTCATATAAATTTCTGAAATAACCCTAACATACACCTTTGAATCTATAACTTGTAAGTGTGTTTTTACATCTCTGACAGAAAAGACAGTAGATGATAGTTTCTTTCGCATAAGTCTCTTCCAATGTCAAAGGTGCTTGTACCACTTGGGATCTACGTTTCATATGAGTGATAACTGAAATTGACTGATTTGAACTGCGACTCCGGTAAAGGCCCGTCAGTTTTAGTGGCGAGTGAGACCAATGTTTTATGTCCCGTTTATTGGTTGGTAGATTACCAATGATTTATTAGTTGTAATAAATCAATCTCTATATTCTTGACGGCTTCCTAACGTACAATTTGCAATGTTTCTGCGTAATTGATTTTGAATAACGGTTGTTTATTTCAGTTATAATTGATTATTTAAGTTTGGTTTTAAAGTCTTTTTTTTTGTGTTACTTACAATGTCTTTCTTTGAGGTACATATAGTGTTTTTGAATATTTTACAATCTAAAGTGAAAATACAATAAAGTATTTTAAAGTTGTTAAGTACTGAATTGGTGTAACTTTAAAAAAAAAAGGTATAATAAGGTATAAGGCAAACGGGTCTATTTTATAGTTAATAAAGTAATATTTATGGCAGCTTTTATAAAATACCGGCATACGTTAAGCATCAATTTGTTTGCCATAAAAATAATAATTAAGGGTAATTTTCGCTGCACGCGAGAGTTTTGTTTTGCACAGCCTCCAATACAAGATTCAGGTGGTTGTTGATAGAAAAGTGGTCTTTTATTGATGGTGAAAGGTGCTGATGTACAGCAACTCACCGCGGTTACCGTCGAGTGCTAACCAGAAACGTTTGTTGAAATTTATGCTCGCTTGAGTGGAGCTTGTTCTGTCATCGCATAAAGTAGACTGATCCCACGGCGGCAACGGTGTAGCTTTAAAGTCTTGTGTTTACGCATTTATATATCTACCAATAGTTATATATCGTTTTATAATAACAACTGCAGGAACATTTTTAAGAGTAGGTATTAAGAATGATGCTGTAATGTATTTTGTCCTTTTTCATACAAACTTATTAAATACCAGAATATTGTATTAAAGCATCGGAACGGCAACGCCATATTTATAATAGGGATGATGACGGAGTAGAGTAAACAAAACACAGTTAAGTCCGTCAGTTAGATAATAAAAAATGGACACTGTTTTTGTTTACCAAAAAAATTACAAAATTAAATCGCGTCAAATTTGGGAGCTCGTGACGCTCTAAGTAAAAATTGTACGAAGACGTGACGACATGCGGCATATCTGTGTAATGTTTTGATTTATCTAAAAAAATACGTGTCCAATACTTTTTGAAAGAACGAAGAAAATAAGTTAATCATCACCCCTATAACCTGAATCTTTGATATCAATGTGCCCATTGAAAACGATACTTTATTGAGAATTCTCAGTAATTCACCTACTCATAGGAAATTTGCTTATTTGTTCTGATTATTCCGGACTTTCAGGTATATTCCAATAATTGCGTCCATACTTATTTAAACATCGGGCACTTTAGGAATATTCTTGGTAAATTTCCAACTTTTAACGGTACAGCACAATACTAATCTTGTAATACTTGTTCTGCTTATACACAGCTACCTAACTGTCTGAAATAGTCTCCGAAATACTGTCCTATTGCACGATAAAGTTCTCAGCTGGCGCATTCTAAATACGTTGCTCTTTCCAAACTAACAATATTGTTTTGCTTTAGCGTGCAATCAGTCAATCAGCCAATTTATGCGAATTTGTTTGGTCAAAACTTACCTACAACATCTATAGGTACTCAATTGTTTACATTTAGTGGGATTATTACAAGTATGACAGCAGTTGTAATGATCCCACTAAATGTAGATCTCATACGGTGTAATAGAGAGAGTAGAGATGTAATAGAGAGAGTAGAGATGTAATAGAGAGCGTACGGCTGCTATCGTTGGAGTAAAGCAATTTTCGCAGTGGTCGGTCATTAGATGGGTGACCAAAAATCTACTATCTCGAATTCCTCCGTGCTTCGGAAGGCACGTTAAGCCGTTGGTCCCATTTGGAGTGTATTGTGCAATCGTTAACACCCGCCAATCCACATTGGGCCCGCGTGGTGAGTCATGGCCCAATCTCCCTTTTCTATGTATATGGAAGGCCTGTGCCCCAGCAGTGGGGATATTAATAGGCTGATGATGAAGATGTAAAATGATAATGATGATATTTTATTACCTAGATTGAGACAAAGAATCATTTTACCCCGAAAAAAATTTAGGTTTCCGAGGGATTCTGCAAAAACTAAAGTTAACGTGGATGAAGTCGCAGACGGCCGCTAGTACCTAATAAATTCTTTAAAGCGTCCGTATACTTGGCATCAAGTTGCAAGCACATACAATATTTGTCATGGTGTCTATAAAAAGTCATCGTGCACTAGAACATCTGATATGCCTATGAACATCTGAATATTTTTCATCAGATATTCTATGAATGTGAGCATCTTCCTGTACGGATAATTTCATAACGTTATTACACACAAAAACGAAATCATCAAGTTATTCGTATTTGCTATTTGTGAACTTGACATCGGTCTATTCTTTTCATTCCATAAAGAATATGATAAGGATATAAACAAACGAAATAGTGCGTCATGTAGAATCGGCGAAACGCAAGTTTGCTGTGGCCCTATCAGTGGCTATGTATGTACAAATACGCTTGTAAGTATCTACGAGTACGTTGCGATCATTACAGAATTTGCAACTGAATGTCTTATTAGCATTACTAATATTCGCAATCAAGGCGACGAACGCTAGAACATTTTTACTTGCAAGACTTGTTCAAAACATGTGAATGGGAAACGGAAATGAAAATGTACTGACATTCCTTCTAGACAGTTGGCTTATCTTGTCATATCAGTGAAGACGTCGAGAAACTAAATGAAAATTAGTTATTCTAGTATTTTATTGAAGTTTAAACAGAATTCATAATAACTTATAGTATAAATAACATTGTTAGATTCAATATTTACTTATTTAGGATACAGGAATTATATTATGATGGGTAGGTACAATTACTTTAAATTAATGGTCCATAAAGTAAGACAATCAACTTCATTCAACGACATAATCATACGACAGCAAAATGTTTTTTTTTTAATACATGTCATTCTTAATTCGTATTAATAATATTATACATATACAGTGTTCATTTGTTCGTACTTTTTCACCAAAAAATAAAAAATCTTAACAATACTTCGAAAGGGGTACAACAATCTTATTTTCCAAAGACAAACATGAATGCCAAAAATTCACTGTTTGCAATTTACCCATTAACAAACATAAAGTCTACAAATAGGTAGGTCTAAAAATATAGGACATAACTATTAGATCTAGATTTTGTTTCTTATTTCAAACCTTATTTAGTGGCAATAATAGTATCTTGTTTAATTCTGATCAATATTCAATATAGTATATCACATTTTTTTGTGCTATAATTAGCACAGTTCTCAACCATGTCTTTAAATTTTATCAACATTATGTATATTTTTAACGAATATGGAAAACCAATCTTTGATTTCCCTAATAAAAAGAGAAAGGCACATAATAATTCAAGTCTCCCACAATAACAAAATTTTAACAAGGTAATTGAATTTTGCACAGTCATTAACGGAACAATTCTAATCAATCTTAATTCATTTCTATCGCAGTTTTACAATATAATCGTTTCTCATATCACTTTATAACTTTCTTTCCTGTCATTTCAGTTCTCCCTCTTCGCCAACCACATCAACTCAAGCGTTTTCAGTCGCCAAATCTCTTCGATCCACATCGACAGAAATAACAAAGCTTCCTGTTTAACAGGAATAAACAAACTCCTGCCACGGAGTAAACAAAGCCCCAAGAAGAAATTGCACGGGCACATCATATGCTCAGGGAAGGCCGTTTCTTCCTGACGCTCTTATTGCTGAGACCGAGAATCGAACCGATTACCTGGGTATAAAGAAATGAAAACTTTTTAATAATGTTAACTTTTCACTAGTGTGTGTTAAAAAACACATTAGTATAGGTAGTATTAACAGAATTGAGAGTGAACTTCCCGCTACGGCATGTGGAACGCAAGCGCAGCGCCCGCTGCCGATACCTCGTAAAACTGACACCCGAGTTGGTGACGTAGCTTTCGTCTCGGCGCGGGCAGCAGCAGCGCCAGCGCGCGCGCCTCCCGCAGCAGCGCGTGGAACGCGAGCGCGGCCCCCGCGCACTAGTACACCGCCGACAACTCGTAGAACAGGCACCCGAACCACAATAACAATATGTAATATGTGAGTACCTTAGAGATGGAGTAGGCGGCGAGCTTTCGTCTAGGCGCAGGCAGCAGCAGCGCCAGCGCGCGCCTCCCGCGCACGACTCCGCCGCCGACAACTCGTAGAACAGGCACCCGAACCACAACAACAATATGTAATATGTGAGTAGGTACCTTAGAGACGGAGTAGGCGGCGAGCTTTCGTCTCGGCGCGGGCAGCAGCAGCGCCAGCGCGCGCGCCTCCCGCAGCAGCGCGTGGAACGCGAGCGCGGCGCCCGCGCACGACTCTGCCGCTGACACCTCGTAGAACTGGCACCCGAACCGCAACGACAACTCCTGACCCTCTTCGGCCTTAACGACTCTGTTTATGAAGAAGAACATCTGTAAATATCATTACAAGTGGACCGTAGTTGGTCTTTAAAAGTTATGTTGCCTTGTCTTGTATACCTGGCATGTTCCAAGTCCCTTTTGTTCCCGAGTAACGTGACGGCTGTGCAGCCAGGAAGACGGGTACGCTCGAGGAGAGCGAGCAGCTCTGCAGCAGCGAGGAAGGAATGCCTGTCGCACACTGAGTATACTACGGCGAACGCGTCACCCCAACGCAGGTGCTCCGCTAGGCAGCCTCGTTTCTAATTAGAAAAACACCATATAAGCATAGGTAAAACTACTCCTACTCTTAGACTTAGATGTTTTCTTCATTAATATATCATGTGGGCGAGTCCATTAACAACTGCTTTGTATGGGTGTGTAGATAACTCATGGAGACAGAACGCTCAGAGCACTTGATCAGGTTTTTTTATACTATTCACACGGTTATCAAACCAGAACGAATTTGCATAGTAAACATTTAACTTTGATAAGAAGGATTTATTGAACCAATAAAATTAAGTCGCATTAGGTTTTTAATTTCTAAATGGGGCCTACCTAAAGATTATATTTATTTTTGAGCAAGTTTGTCTAACAATTTTTTTTGTTATCCACCATAATTTTACAACTATTTAATGTTAACTCGTCAAGAAATATAATATATATATTTCATGATGTATGGTAATGATATAGAGTTTTAACATCTTTATCTACATAACTTCTCATGTATAACCTTCGCCCGATGGAGAAGTACACTTTAAATATTTAATATTTAGGAACGAATAATCACGCATCATTTCATAAATTTCAAAAATAATAAACTTTTAGGTATAAAAATACTTTTTTATAAGAAGCACTCACTGCACATCCACAAGTATCCAAAACTTCGACTTCAGATGTAGCTCCGTCGAAAGCTACCCGATGTTGGTAGAAAAAATCTGAAACAAGACCAAAATTTATAACAGTCATAATAGTTTTTAATTGGGACTTGAACCTTCGACGGCTAGGTTACGGCCTCGCTCTATATTTCAGAACTACGATGTCACTCACATTGGTTCTAGATCAACATTGTTAACATGCCTATCCTAATGGAAGATTTATATTAATATAGTAGCTGAATCCAGTGTTAGGGGTCTAACATCTCGGCGCCATTGCCTTGTGCAGCTGAACAAGCACAAAAAAACTGATTAAACTGAGTCCAGGGTTGGCATGCTAGTGAGATTGGCGCCAGCCTGCTATACACTCATTGATTGTGAATATACCATAATTAATCATAAATTTATATCACATCTATTCGAAAAGAACTAGTTTGTTCTCTGTTTAAAGTGACTAAAATGGCGTTTCAATCCCTAGGGACTAAAATTTATTTGAATTGGGAATATGGATTTTGTTAGTAAAAGTTCGAATCACCAAAGTGATCAATCACGAACATCTTATGAACAAGTTACAGGCTGTCTAAAAACTAAACGTGCGCTTATCAAGTTTAATAAAAAGATTGTGAAAATAAAAAAAAAAACCCTTGAAATAAATTCCGCCTTTGTTCATAATTGTTTACTCAAATTGACAAAAAGTGTCATGATTGTCAGCAATTAGTGACCAAAGAAAAAGAAGATCTCATTGATTTATGATAATAATCGCTTTATTAATTCGAAGCGGATCGAATATTGTAGAGTAACATAGGTAGAATCCGTCACTGGAGCTTTAAAACAAAAAATAGTGTAGCGCCCGTGGTGGACACTGTACTTTTTATCACACTCTATGAGAAAATAAGTAAAAACAACTAACATTTTTACCGTCCGATACAATGTTCTCGGGAGTTGATATATAATTTTCACTCTCACTAGGTACTTGAGGAAGACATACTCATATAAAATATATGTTTGATAAAGCCCTTAAAAACGCTCTCGCGTTTAAAATAGTTTTTTGCTCCTTGGTAAAAGATCCAGTATTATTCCAATGTCAATCGTCAACGACATTTTAGAAAATTTCTTTGATTTTATCGCCTTTATATCATAACATACATGTATAGTTTGATAAAGCCCTTCTTCTTTGATATATTTATTTCGATGTAATATCTTATATAAATTACCTAATATATAAGATATTACATCGAAATAAATAAAAAAAAAACTTATATAAATCAATGAGATCTTCTTTTTCTTTGGTCACTAGATCACTGAGAATCATGACACTTTTTGTCAACCAACTGATTCCACCTATTAGGCTCTGTCGCTTTATGCAGTGCGGTACTTATAATGTCTCTCCCGATATTGGGAAATCTCGTTCGTTCATCGCTATTTGTTTAAGTCTTTGGCTTTTAAATAGTATTTGAAAAAAGGACATTGGGCAAAAATGTATGTACGCTGCACCCACGTCCGCCACGGCTTAAAGTACATTTGTTTGAAAGGTATTATAGTCAAGATCATCTGTGCCAAAGCGCATCAAATTCCATGCCGGGGGTCTTTAGTTATTTTAAGTTAAATATGTACAAGTACTATAACAAACGAACATTAATGAAACAAAGGAATTAATTCACTTAGTTCGACCCTACATAGTGTGCTCAGGAATTATGGGAGTACTTCACAAGGTGCAAGCGTGCCCCCTTATGTTTTTCTACCGTGCTAGAGTAAATCCAAAAATCCCCGCATGGGTTGTTTTCTGTGTAAAACCGAGCGACCACAGATTACACAAACTTATCCACGCTTTGGAGAACACATGATTCCAGTTCATCCATACTAATTGACAAAACCGATAATCGTGTTCCAATATCCAAAGCGTGTTAGTTAAAAATCAATCAAATAGCACAATCACAACGAAGTAAGACGAGTCGACTATTTGCAACTGCAAGTCCTTCAGCATCCGTAAACCGTTTTTAAATGTCTCAGTAAGAGCAAGCGCAGGATGGCATATTATTATGATTACTAATAATATAAAATGAAGGTATTATAAAATGAATTTATTCAGCTACTTAAATATGCCCATGTGTCATATCTATTGACTACCAGGATATTTTTTACGGTGTCATATCTTTTGACTCCCAGGATATTTATTTTCGGTGTCATAATAAAAAAGGCTAGTTTTTCATAGACCTATCGATTCATACTAATTATCATCATTGTCCTTTGACATTACTACACCTTAAATAAAACCAGTTTATTACGGGTTAATGCACGAAACTTTATTTATTTATTGACGTTTCGTAGCCTTTACAGGCTACGTCGTCAGAATCAAATTTTATTTCAAATAAAATTTGATTCTGACGACGTAGCCTTAGATGCGAAGTTTTAGTGCCAAAATGTGATGTGCGTGAAAACCTAAGAAACAAATATTACTACACCTATTGGCTGTACTTGTAGTTTTTTGACAAATTATTATTGCTACGATGGGGCAACATCGATGTTTTTGTATAATTTATATATCTATACGTTTTGGTTAGTAGCCTTGATTTTTTATTGCTATTATTAACAATGGAAATAAAATGCTAAATTCCACTCAATATGTTTTTAAGTACTAGTGAAATCAATTAAGAATTTTATATATAGTAATTGTTAATATGTTAACAAATATTCTGGTTGTAATTAGTCTTCGTACCCACTCCTATGTCAATTTAATACATTTACTACACCAGAGGATTGTGAAAAAAAGACTAAATGACGAACTCTTGGCATTATCATACGCTGCCGTGAATCTTTAATTAAAACATCTAGGTTAGATGCGAAGTTTTAGTGCCAAACTATTGCACAAACGTTACGATGCAGTAACATAACCACAAAGGCTACAACTTAATGTACTGTGTAGGTGCCTATGTAAGTTCCCACGGTAAATATAAGATTTTTTCACTAAGACGTGGTTGTCATAGGTCGACGGCCGTAGAGCGGCCGGCGCCGGCGTTCAACAGCCTTGGCTCTTCTACCGCGCATGCTGCCAATATCACAAATAAACCATTGGCAAGCCACTTGGCACTTTGTAAGTGCCTCTTCGCCTCAGAAACTGTTTTCAAGTACATTTTTACAATATCAGATAAATTCTTATCATTCCAAAGTTATGTCAGTTAAAGAGATAAAAATGATGATTTTAAAGGATTTTGCATCAGCTCGCTTTCAATGATTCTACGAAGCAGTGATTTTTTTTAACTAAAGAAGCAGTCAAAATGCGTTAAAAATTACAATCTAATTACTGAAATTTTGCGTCATCTTCTAAGTGTCATAGTTATTTAAAGTTTGAGAAACTCTTGCCATGCTTACGGACGAAAAAGCACTCAGATCACAGAGTAAGTCAGTTACTCCGTGATCATGTCGCTTCAAACAGTGCTAAAATATCGGGGACTCGCAAAAAACAAGGTACATGAGAACAATCCCGTAATTAACATATATTACTATAATATTAGTGGCCATGAAAGTTTCAAACAGTACACACAAACAGTACAGTACAGGATAAAGATTATGCAGTGAAACTTACCGCCCGTAGAACTGTATTCACCAATATACCGCTTCGTTAAGTATCGCACCACTACAGCTGCAACAAATAGAAAACACAAATCAATAACGAAATATTTTAAGAAACTAAATGAAAATTATGAACAATCAATTGTTATTAGTCTCATAATAATAAAACAACACTACATATCGGTAGATTTTATGCACAACTATTTTATGGTAATTTTAACGACCGCTATCTGTCCAGGCAGATTAGGAAAACGATATGGTTTCTTACGGTTAACGTTAATAAATTACACTACATTACTAAACTTTTATTAATATTAATATCTTAAAGTAACAACAAACATATAAACAGATGAATGAAGAATATAAAATTTGGAAAGTTTAATATGAAGGTTCTTTATAAGTTTTCAATTTGTCGAACTCAATTAAGTCCATTGAATACAGATAGGTAGCACAGTTAACACAGAGAAAGCAGCAATTAGCAACTAATCGGCAATTGGTGTTACAAAAGTTGTATTCTAGAATGAATTTATAACTACAAGCCACAATTAGAGGGAAAGCAGGCAAAATGGATTTGAGTTTATTTTAACACTACAGTTTCCATTGCACTATTTGTTGTAAGATAACGAAAAATAATTCTATGATAATAATAAAAAAATCAAAGATAAAAAAATATTGTTCATGTTTTTAAATATAAGCGTGTTAAACCTTCTACTTTTCTTGCTGTAAAAATTTAGCAAGTTATTTTTTAGTATTGCCGATTACACATGATAAGTTAAATCAACTAATTTTAATCAGATAATAGAGGAGTGTCTTTTCACTTTGACGACTTTTACGAACCCACAGTCGATGGGTTGGGACATTTTATCACAAAGTTCCAAAGCCACCTTCCATTACCATCATGAGATCCTAGATAATTCCTATAAACATGAATGACGCGGATGGAATGGATGTTTAATATTATCTCAAGTCAGTAAGTACTAAAAATTTTACACATAACCATAAATAAATATGCGTAGGTAAATGATATTGTCATATTCTTCAATATCGGAACGAGTACAGCGTTAACAAGAAATGCTTTAGGCGTAATGCAAATATCTTGCGTTAGTGAACTATTTATTAGTTTACTGCATTTTAATTCAGCTACTACAGATACTGCCTATTTATTGATAAAGTTAATTAAAACAGCTAATGAAACGCCACTTAGAACGTGCATACTCGTTTCATAATTGTATCGTACAACCAAGTAGATAGTGCAATGGAGTGTCAAATCTATTGCTGCAATGAAATTGGATAAGGACCGAAGTTTAACGACAGCTTTACATGCAGAATAAAATGATGTTATGGTCACAATCGCTTAACACGAATCAGATTATGTTGTTTTACAATCCAAAATACCATAAAAGGTTAATAAGTAATTTGATTCATTTTATAAATAGCATATACGAATAAAATTATCATAAAACTCTCTTTTAACATAAATTTATGTGCCCCATATCAGGTAAGTGAGTGCTGCAAAATGAGAAGAAATTTTCGAGTTGAAACAATTTATTTAGTCTATCTACATAAGGTAACTGGCCTTACGAATTTAAAATACTAGTATTAAAAAAATAGGAAATATCAAATGCTGCAAAATCACCGTTCAATTTTAAAAAGTCGTCTTCTACATTTTCTAATTCATAAGTTGCCTGGGAATCTCTTAGTTTGTAATGATTTTTCATTTTGAGACTTTACTCAGTTCTTTGGGCTATTAATTTGCTGTAGAATCTCGTCCTAATTTTTATGTAAATTAATTGCTAAATTAACAGCCTTGCTAAAAAAACTGACTAAGAAAATAGTGTAGATAATGGAATCATTGTTTGCTTTAGTTTTTAATATCGTCAATATTGGATCAAAATGGTAGGTATGTAACGCATGTGGCCTTTGCTGATAGAAATTACTTACTGAGAAATCCAGGTTTCACTGGAATCATATAAAGCTACTGTATAAATAAATCATAGTATGTTAAACGAAGACGACAATAAAATATGATTTTAACACAACATTTTATTTTTTCTTTACAGCATCAGTAACTATTGAGCCCACGTGCGCAGTACCTAAATAACCTTTTTGACGTTAATCGACTAAAAGACACTTAGGAATTTCTGGATAAACGCATTAAATTATCTTAGACACTAAAGATATATAGTTGGACATAAAGCAGTGAATAGATTGTGAAATCGTATCTTTACGTAGCATCTCATCAGTTGTTTTATTGAGTTCTGCAGATATCTGAGCGTATAAAATATGGGTTCATGGCGGCTAGTAAACATGTCATATCATCAAATTTATTATTCGACTTCTGCTTTACGATTTACTGTGAGTGTTTTACATGATAGACGGCTAGACGGCGTTGTTTGATTGAAATTGTGACACTGGGTCAGGAGCATTGTGTGCTTCACGAGAATACAATTCAGTCAATGCAAAACAATCGATGTATGTTAATTTCAATTACACGGTCATTTATCGTGGTTGCATGTCACACTTTCCTCTTGCCTCGTAAAATTATCAGTACCTACCTAAATTGGTTACAGTGTTTCTCAGAAGTCATTCTCAAAATGTGTACACATGGTTTATGTTGAATTGCCAATAAAAAGGCGGTGGACATATCTACTTCACAGCGATGTATTGCAAAAACAGAAAAGTTGTTTCCTTATCAAACATGCAAAATGAACGCGCGCCGCGAGTCGAATGCACCAATTATACTAACGAGCACTTTCACTACTGATAGTGTCCAGTTCAAGGTAATCCACTAAACGTTACCCAGTGTTGACGAACGACGTGCTAAAACCAATTAATCTGTATGATTATTTGTAGCGAAATCTAACTGGAAATAACTCATCATGATGATAAATTTATCGTTTACCCAATGAGATAAACTTCTTCACCGTGCAATCCATCGATTCACCGTGCGAGTGCCGGGTCCATTCTGTGGGAGTGAGAGAAACTCTGTGCAGTTCCCAGGACTTGCGACCCAGGTGTAGGTTTTAGGAGACCCCCTTTAAGATGCGCATTAACGCTCACCTTCACTGCTCAAGTTGCCCGCCCTTCCAAGCCTTTGATAGAAGCCTGTTAGTGCAGCTTTAGTTACTAGTTCCAAAATTGAACTTACTGCAGTTCTCGACAGGCCTAGGTCTTTTAGAAGGTTGTAGAGATATTTTGCTGGTACACCTCTCTCGCTCCTACTTCTACCGCATATGAATTAATTAGATAGCCATTTTTGGTTAGTTCATTGGTTAGATCGTAATATTTATTCAATTTTATTGTGTAGTCTTTCGGAATGTTAGTTTCCCACGGTACAGTAAGCTCTATTAATACTATATGTTTGATGTGCCTAGAAAAGAGGGATATATATATATATATATATAGTCCAGTCAGGTGCAATACTTAGGATTGAGAAAGGCTGTTTTTTGCGTTAACAGTTGATCCTTCTTTTATAAAGTTAATTTGTTTTTTATTTGTGGTTAATCCCTTTTGGGCCCTAGCCACTGCAAGACTTGCTGCTTCACGTATGACTTCAAGTACTCTATCATGGCGACGTGAGTATTGACCCCTATCAATGAGCACCTTGCAACCTACCAATATGTGCCTAGCAGTACCTATTGCCTCACCAGTGGCGGACTAAGCCCGTCAGAGGCCCGGGGCGGTAAAGATGAATGAGGCCCCCCAGATTTAATAATGTAGTTTTTGGTGTTTATTTGGTTAAAATCGGGAAAGTAAAATTTAAATTCGAATTAAATTATTTCGGCTATCAACATACATACCTACAATATGGAATCGATATGGGTGAGAAAAATAAAATACGATATCGAAATTAATCAAGGATAGTTTTTTTATTTTTTGTAGCGTGTTATATGTGTTTTCGTGCCTTCAATTTACTGAACTCCTCAATATCTTCTTTGAAATCTATTTCTTTTAATTTTTTTTTCTATTGAAAGCACGGCTAGGTAACCTAGTCGCTCTTGACCCATTGTAGATCGAAGATAATTTGTAATTATTGTAAGTTTCGATATACACATGTACAGAGACTTTACCGTGTTGAGTCTCACGATGAGAACAAGTATTTACCTACGCCCCTAATAAACGTGCACTACAAATAAAATAAGGACCACTCGCGAAATGCAAGAACTGAAGCAATGTACTAATAGCTGCATATTGACTAGAAACTACGGATTATAATTTGTAGGCTATATTGTACAAAGAATTATTTACTTTTTTCAAATACTTGAAAATGCACTAAATCAACTCTGAACTCATTTACTTTAATACCGCAACACAAATCAAAAACACTATAACAATTTTCAATGAAATTACTTTAAACGGAAAAGATCGCGTTTCATCAACAGCCTATCCTAGTCCACTGCTGGACATAGGCCCCTCCAATTGCACGCCACTCATATCGATTTTGGGCTCGTCACTCCATCGTGCCTAAGGACGTCCTACACTACGTTTGCTAAGACGCGGTCTCCACTCCAGAACTCGTCTACCCCAACGGTTGTCGGTTCTTCGGCAAATATGGCCAGCCCACTGCCACTTCAACTTGCTCATCCGGTGGGCTATGTCGATTACCCTGGTTCTCTGTCGGATTACCTCATTTCTGATGCGATTCTTCAGAGACGCCGAGCATAGCCCTTTCCATAGCGCGCTGAGTGACTTTGAACTTGTAGACCAGCCGTACCGTCAGTGTCCACTTCTCAGCTCCGTATGTCATCACAGGTAGGACGCACTGATTGAAGACTTTCGTCTTTAGGCACTGTGGGATCGACGATGTCAGGATTTGAAGTAGCTTCCCAAACGCTGCCCAACCTAGCTGAATTCTTTCTTCTATTCACCTCGTCCTCAAAGTTGTTTCTACCTAATTGCAATGACTCCGCGAGGTATACATATTTTTGAACAACTTCGAGAACGGCACCGTGTATTGCAATCGGTTCCGGTAGAACATGTTCATTAAACATGACCTTGGTTTTATCCAAGTTCATCCGTAGTGCGTATAGAAGAGTCAGCCAGGTCATTCAGCATTTTTTAAAGGTCTCC